AGCAGTTGTTAATGCTAATGAAATAATGCAATGAAACAGAAAATGAAGGTTAGAATGGATTCTGAAGCAGAAATAAAATAGATAATTTGACATATAAGATTTTACTAATTACAAATTGAGTAACTTTCATACTAACAATGGAACATTTCCGTCCAGGTTTTTGGCTATCTGTAGAAAGATCCTTAGAATTCGGTGGACAAGTGCACGTATATCCTTCTTTCAAGTCACTACATGTAGCTGTTGGATCACAATCATTTAATGATGAATTCAAGCATTCATTCACCAATTCTTTGCAAACTCTCCCTGAAACACTTAATTTTAAGATTGATCAAACTTCACTTTTATAAAACAAACAATAATGAGGAAAAAATTGGAGCATTAGAATACTTAATATAAAATATCTGTCAAATATTTTAATACTTTACAACTTTTCCCTAACTTTCTGATAGTTATATATATCTCAAATGAAATATTTGAGTAAAAAGGAAAATTCCACAATGAAGAAATATCTCAAGAAAAGTCTCATAAACACACTGAAATGTCAAAATGAACAAAATGCTATTGTAATTTTGTAAAAAGAAAAAAAAAAATTTGAAATTCGTTATAGGAAAACTAACCGGGCTTGCTTGAATTTACGTCGATATAGCCATTACGACATGAACATATATATCGTTCCGGTTTTGGAACTTCGGTGCATACAGCAGCCGGATGACAATCGTGTTTTGATGGATCACTGCAGATATGTTCCAAGCAAATACGACCTAAGTATCTCATTTTAAAAATTTGCAGTTACAAATGTTGTCAGCATTGCAATTATGATGCAATGAAAGCAATTAGTCGAGTCGGAGATTTAAGCGAAGGATGAATCAGTTTTATTTTAAAATAAGTTTTCTTATTTTCAGGTATCTGAAAGATAAAAGATAAGGGCATGTGATAGTTTTCTGATTCATAAAAATTATATATGTATATTTTTTCTTCCACGCAAAAATACTCGAATTTCGAAAAATAACCTGGTTTGGTTAATTCAGGACTTTTATCAATATAACCAGGATTGCAGACACAGATATATTCATTTGTACCTTTCTCGATGCATTTCGCATTCTTATCGCAATCGTTTTGGTTTGATACACAGAGGCGATTTGCTAAAAGCTTATGATTTACTGGAAGCTTAATTTATAAAACTTTACCCTTTAAAAAACATCTAATTTCGAAATCCTTATAACAAATATCCTCTACAACATCCATTTATGTTTAATTCAGAACTGAAAATTTTAATTATATCAGTACTGGAGTAATTAGATAGGCGGTTAAGTGGTAAAAGAAGAAACTAGCAATAAAATTTGAAGAAGTCAAATAAGTTCATCTTTCTTCTGGTTAGATTTGTATGATATTGGGGTTATCATAATGCTTGTCGCCAAACCCGAAATTTTGTGATTTTTTATGATGATTTTTTATCATAATTCTTGCCGGTAAACCCGAAGTTTTGTGACTTAGGCTCTTACGTAGTATTAAGAAAGGAATCGATTTGATTTTCACGAACATGCATGCTGGATAGTTTTATATCGCATGGTTTCTCGCATATCCAAAAAAACATTTCCTGCATAGACATGCAAAATAACTTCGAGATTATCATGGAACACTTATATCAAATAAATGAATTTCCTTGCGAAAAGCGGAACGGTTTGGAAGAATACAATATCATAATTCCATACAGCCAAGGAGTTCACGAAAAAATCATTGAACCGACTAAAAGACCTATGAAAGGTGCTATTAGCATATAGTAGAAGGAATTAATAGCGGCAATGGTGGAAATCGAAGAGATTCAATGCCTGACCAGTGACCTACGTAAATTTTGTAATTATATGCCCAATGTCTCTCTTCACTTGTTAAAGACAACTATCAAGAAGAATTTACTTCTTGCAAATTAAATATCAAGGAAAAACTTATTAAGTATTGGTCAAACACATTCAAAGCCTTGGGCACATTTCGGTAAATAAGTTAACAAATCTTATAGAACGAACTCAAAGAGAACGTGCCTTCCCGAGAAATGCAGAAGCAAAAACACCTTATAAGATAGAAATTGTTTTAGTCGATTCCCCGCGGTATATGGAAGTTGTCAGAATAAAAGAAATTAAAAGAGGGTTCCCCTACATCAAGAAATGCTATCGTAGAAATGTCATGGGGAACTCCTTAATAGATCAGTAAAAATGTTTTATACCCTCTAGAAATTGATGATGATCCCAACTTAAAAAGTCAATCTCGAATGTTTGAAAAACCGGTGCAAGGAATCGGTCAAGAGGAATCTGTTGCTCTACAAACAAGTGCGATAAGACAGTGGCAGAACTCAAACTGCTCAATATTTCTGAGTCCGATGTGTCGTGAAACTCAAAATTCTTTTGACATAAAATTATTCATATGAATAGAGGTTTTGTATAAGTGGTAATTAGACTAAAAAAGTTGCTCTCCACAATCTTTAATTAACGTTAAATTTAATTTCTTGTCATGCGGTATTTCTCATTCTGTGTTGCTTTATTTTATAACATTTCCCATCATTACATGTTCTCTGTCTTTTTTATGTATTGTTGTACAAATGTAGCTAACGAGTAATCAAACAATCTCTCTTTTTCCATCGCTTCTTTCTTCCCTTCATGATATGACATTGCCTAACTGTGGAAGTAAGTCTGCATGGCCTACTACTCATTTTTCTGCATCATCCTTTGTGACGTATCTCTCTACACGGTTTCTATTGATTTATTATATATCCACATGATTATCGCTGTATCGCCCAATGTTGGGTATATATATATATATATATATATACTTAACACCATATATAGATATATACAGTTATCGAGTGAGATTTTCCTCAATCGTTTACTCCCTACTCTGAACAGAGCGATTAACTCCCTACAATCAATAGTTAGGAATCGAACTATTCATTTTTGGATGTCGTTAATTGTCAGTATTTCTGATCTTCCTTCCAATAAACCTTTTCAATTATAATTGTCGTGGAATTCCAATCTACTCTCCGGACCAAAAAAAAAAGGTTTTTCATGATAATACCTTCTTCACAAATTCTTCCCGGATTTCGAAGTTCGTCATGATCAATGAAGCCATCTTTGCATTGACATTTGTAACTTTCCGTTGTATCAATGCAAATAGCATTTTTACTGCATGTGTTTAGTGATTTGTTGGCACATTCATTTACTAGCGGTTTACAGTATGTGCCACCAAAATATTGTGGATTTGGACTGCAAATTTATAAATTATCAAATTTCGAATTTACACTTTTCCTCTTTGATCTTTATTAATAACACAATTTAACAAGGAGGGCTGGATGTTGAAGAAAGTCCAGTAGTATCCTATATGTTTCAGGTACCCAGTGATACTCAGAACATATCATGACAAATATCTCTCAATATATTCAGAAATCAGCCGAGAAATTTAAAGAAAAGAACAAAGTACAGAAACAAATGATTTTATCAATTCATATGAAATGCGTACCTGAAGTCCACGTAATTATTTTTACATCGACATAAAAATCCTTTCGGCAAATTAATGCAATCTGCATTTACTGAACAGTTGTGGGTGCCCTGAGCACATTCATCCGTTTCTGCAATTAATAAAATGCATAATTATCCTTAAAATTTTCCTCACTATATTTACAGCATTAAATTAACTTACTAAATGAATATTTCAGAAAACTTTTTAAAAATTTTCTAGAATTTCGATATGAAAGGTTAAATTTTTAATATCCTGAATAGCACGATTATTTATTACTGAATGGAGAAACGAGTACATACGTAATCGGCAAACTCTTCCGGGTCTTCGCGATGGATCCGGACTTTCATCTATATAACCTTCTTTGCATGTGCAAATATATCCTTCATCGGTATCGATGCAGTTCGCATTCTTATCACAGTCATGCGTTCTGGCAGCGCATTCATCCACCACTGCATATGTACATGTCTTTAACAGCCAATCTTGCAAGTGCTAATTGTCAAATCAATTGATTATTTTAGCTAATCTGTGATGTTGATCACATAAATGATATTCTCTGGCGATATTCATCTGTCACTGTTTTATGAGTACTGTTTGTACTAAATTCTTTTATTTCAATATTTCATTATTGCATTTCCCATGATGCCATCTAATTTTTATTCACTTACAGCAAATCTGGGTGATAGGATGCCGGATTTGATTGACGGCACATTGACAAATGAATCCTCCACGATTATCCGGAAGGCATTCTTCATGTCTTCGATTATCACAAGCATTCGGCAAATATGGTTCGCATGTTCCGCTTACTTGGCATTTACCATTTGAATTAGTTACATAGCCAGGCCTGAAGTATTTACTTATTCTATATGTAACTTTTTCAATATCACGAACACCTATCCTTATTATTGTTTATTTTTATTGACTATTCTATCCTTACAGTAAATTTATCCATTATTTTTAATATCTAATTCTCAATCAATTTTATTAGATTTTTGCTAAAACTCTTTTAAAATTTCAATCTGATAAAAGAACGTACAGACACTGGCAGATTTGTTTTCCGGATGAAGATGTTATACACTGTTCGTTTTCCTTACACGGTTTTTTTTGTCCGCATTCATCTATATCCGGCACTATGCCAGGCATTGATGGTACATGACTGCTTGCTAAAAACTTTAAAGTTCCACAACAATTGAAGCAACTGTTCAAGAATTTGTATTGCCGTGTATTGTTAAGTGGCAAGAAAATTGCAAATTCAAAAATATTGTGTTGAAAATTTCGAAAACGAAAAAATTAAAAAATTAGCTGAAAGACTTACTGCAAGCACCAGACTTCTGGTCTCGTACGAAGTAAAGCGGACATGTACATCTGTGATTTCCATGTGGTGCCAACTGGCATATTTCAGGACTTGGACATGAGGAAAGAAGTTGTGGATTGCATAAAGCACCACCACAAACCTGAAAAAAAAAAACAAAGGCGCATATTAGAATTTCGTCCATCTATGCTACCTATTTGACGATAAGTTATTTATTACTTGAAAGGTTCCGGAATTCAAAACATCTATATTTATTCGAAAATAAATGTCTGAGAATCTCACGAAAGCTGAAAAGACGCTGCTAAATGTATTCTGGATTATGGAAAGCACAGTACGTGAATCAAAAATAGCAAGTTGCAAAATTCTCGAACACTTCATGCCACATGAATAGTCTTTTTGTAAAATAAGACCGTTGTGCGCAAATATAGAAAATATACAGACAATTGCTTAAATTACATATTTATACTTGTGACTAATATCTATACCTATACCCCTCATAGATCTATACCCGTGTAATCGGATGTTGTTCGAATTCTGTTGGACAGGTACAACGAGGTTTTCCATTTTCCATTGCACATATTTGATTCAGCGATCGATCGCATCCTGCATGAGTTTGCAGAACACAATTCTCTGAAATTTGAATGCTTTTAAAAATTTATTTCTTTTTAATTCTAAAATAATACTAAAAAAATTCTGTCTATCCTAATAAAACGAATATTTGTACAATTTTAAACAGAACACAAACAAAATAAATAAAAATTTGGTATATATAATGGTAAGATTAATAAAATAATTTAAACATGCATTGAGAAAAATTCAAACAAACAATAAAAGCATTAATTAAAATAAAGTAAATTGCCACTGGATTCCACAATCTTCTTTACTAATTAAAATAAATATTCAAACAAATAGAAATAAATGTCAACTAAACACTAACAGATAATAAACATAACCATCCATTT